GGCAAACGAAGCCACTCATAGCACAACTAATGAGAATTCACGTGGTAACACCAAAGGCACCTGTTCATGTTACATTAAACCCTAGAGTACAACCTGGACCTGCACCTTGCCCAATTTTTGTTACTGGTTGTGATGAACCGATTAAATTATCGCAAAGTGCTTACTGGGTTTTGAGACTACCGTATCCTTCTGGAATTATTATTAATGTAATTTTATTTCAAGGAAAATTCTAATTAATCCTTAATAAAAATTTAGATATGTGTACATGGATGAAAAAGGACCATATTTGGCGCCAAAAGAACCAGTACTTACGTCACACGGAAGATTATTGGCAGGAATGTACGGAATCAGCGAAGTACTTCCAGAAAAGAAATAGTATAGTATTTAACTTTTTTATAAAAAATAATGTGTACGAAGCTTGTAAGTTATACTGTGTAAATACATGAAAATACAAAGAAGAATATGTATTTTTCATCTCCCTCGATCTTAATTTTTATAGGATAAAATTAACATTTTTAATTTAAAAAATTACAAAGAATTACTTGCAAAATTGCTTATAAATTCCATTAATTTAACTATGAAAATTTAATTTCTATCAGATATGTCAAGCATAGTCGCGTTAAAAATGACCGTTAGGATTGAAAGACAATTCAAAATACATCACTAGAACGGATTATTTTCCACAATTATTATTTCTCAATTATAAAGAATTGAATACTAAATTTCAATCTTCATTCATAAAAATTAATGCCTACTATAAATAAGTGCTTGGAAGTCTGTAAAATTATGTATAATTTCGACAAATTTTGTACTTAATTTAACAAAAGTGAGATTTGAAATTCAAAGATGGTTACGGAGTATGTTCATTATGGAATGTCCGCAAATCATTCGCTAAAATATTAATGTAAATTAATGTTTATATGTCTGATTCACCAAAAACGAGTGGAAGGAGCTTTAAAGTCTTCATTATATACTTTGAAAATTATTTTAAACACTGCTAACACGAAAAAACTATAATTTTCCGACAAGAGCGCGAAAAAACGTATTAGGGGTATCATTCGCAGCGGGAAACATATGCGCAAGCGAATCATTAACTGAGAAGAGTTCTGATTGATCCATTTGAAAAACTCCAAAAATGGCGTCGAATAAAGCAATCCCCTGATTGGTTAGCACTTCTATTGCGTCATATGAAAAATTCAAATGTCTCAGACTTACATTTATTTAGTAATAAAAATAAAATTCGTATAGTCGTATAATAACGAAACTCGTAATTAAAATAAAAATTCAGTATCTATTACATTGAATTCACGTTTTAGAAGAAATCTTTAGATTGTAGAAATTGTAGGAATTGAAGTGAAAATTTGAAATGAAATTTTCCTTTTGAATTTCTCCGCCATTGTACTGCAGCGCTATGACCGTTACAAGTTACAGCTCGCACAAGAAAAAATAAACACTTGTCGTTGTATCTTACCTGTGAAGTAGTTATTTTGGGTCGTTACCCACTAATACTACAAAATTTCCAATGACATGAATGAAATAGTCAATTTTCTAGACGAAAAAAGTATTTGGTCGCTATTGGCAAGTGAAAGTGGTTGTAGATTGTATACTGCTCCTTCGAACGACTAGTTTATGTGTAACGCGAAAAAAGGAGTTATTTATTACCTTTAACGGCATATTACAAAAGCTGCCATTCTGTTATCTCGTTAAATTTATACGCTTTCAATAGGCTGTTAACATTACTTCACCTTAGAAGGTGATTTTTTTCAACTTTCGTTTTAGGTAATTTTAGTCTGATAATTATTCAAGGCGATTAATATAAATTTTCATAAGTGAAAATTGTTGAACTTCTTTGTTATCTTTTCAGAAAGACTAGTACAAAATGGTGCATACATATTTATTAACATTTCTTGTTGTGATAACTTGTCAGAAAGGCACAGCTTCAGTGTTTGGATGGTTTTGGAGCAAGAATATGGATGATACCACTGTGTTAGTAGCTGATGGTGTCCCATTAGTTTCAATTCCATATGAATCAATGACAGAGGATGAAAAGTTTCTTCAGGAAGCAGCAAAGTTTACAGACATTCAAGTGTCATCTCCATTGGAGACATGCCAGCATAAAGTCATCATGAAGATTAAAAGTTCCTGTTCTGACATGACAGAAGAGCAGCTTGCCAAATTAAGTGTTAATCTTTTGAATTGTCAGTCTGCAGTGGAAGGCAGGAAAATGTTTCCATGTACTGAAGAAATGGTAAAATTCTTGAACTTTTATATTATGTAACTTTTGAGTTTATTACTCTTCTTAATGCTCTTGTGCACTGAAGAGACTAAACAGTTGGATTGAAATGTGCAAACATATACAGTGCTTCACTGTGTGTGAAATCACATGTGGAAGGGTGCTTTGAAGCATGTTCAGACTTGCATCTTCCCCCACTTAAGTAACACAAGGGCCATCACTGAGCTTACACTGTAGGGTTTCATTGGATAAAGTACTTTCTATGTGTATACATCTAATTGGTTAATTTTATAATTTTTACAAAATTTTGCAATTTTAAATTTACAATTTAAAAAAAGTTAATACAGTCATTGAAACAATGTACAACAGATATGGATGCAGATATGTGGAATGCTTATCACTTAATGAGCAACAGAGCTAGAGCAGTTTGCTATGCAGCCCGCAGTACTCATTTTCGTGGTCTTACAGAACTGACTGTGAACAAATTAATGCAAACAGCACATACACAAATTAAAACATTAAGTTCCTTGAAGGTGAGTATATAAAATAACTACATTGCTATAACTAATTACATTATAATTTTATTATTGAATATCAATTCAGGAAAGTCAAGATCGTTTGGAGGAACAGACAGTAGAAGCATTATCTTCTTTATCAGAGGGCAATAAAGCATTACTAGCACAACAACAGCATTTAAAAGATGCACAAACTTCAGCTTATAATCTTGTAACAACAAATCTGAGGGAACTAATTAATGAAAAAGCCTTAATTCGATCTGGACATGTTCAACTTGCTGCAATGTCGGATGATATCAAGAAAAAATTAGGCAATTAGCTATACAAGTGAAAAGTGGCATAATTGCTAGTTTTTAATTAACTAAATTTTTTTCAGAGGAGGCAAATCAAAATTTGGCACAACAAGCCATTGAACGCGGCGAAAATCATAAAGAAATACTCGAAGACTTGATGAATATTCAAGAGCAAGCACAATTACTTTGGCATAAAATAGAATCTAGTACAAATCGAATTTTCCAACAACATGAAGATGCACTTATGCAATATGAACAAACTTTGCACAAATTGGGACAGATTAATGATACTATTCAATACATATGGAATATGACAAATGTCATGCGTGCAGAGGTGGATGACAAACTCAATTGGATCACCAACTACATTGGAGACACTGGTATTTATAACTTATACAATACTATTAGTGCAAATAATTAAAAAAAAGGTAAATATTAAATTTTAAAAATTTTCAGGGGAGCAAATGTACAGAATGTATCGCATAGGCTTCCATATTGTTTATTTATTGTTTGCTATGGTAATAGCAGCATTTCTCCATGCACCATTGTTAACCAGAGTCACAATTCTAGGACTTGTACCTTTAAATTTAGTATCTTACTTAAAACACGGCATGGATGCTTGCTTAGATTTTACATCCATGACTGTGTTGATATTCTTCATTACAATAAGTATGTATTACTATAAAAAAAATATGTACAAATATATTATACAATTTAATATACATTTTTTTCTTAGTGCACTTTATTATGGTTGGAATTCAACGCACATTCGGTCCAAAATCGAAAGCACCGGGACCACAATCTGTTCAGGTTACCAATCAAAACGGCCACGCGAATGGAACCGCACAGGATTACACTTCTTCGTCGTACACTAATCTCAAATCGTCACATTCTTTCTCTGTATTATTCTACCTAAAACTAAAGAGAAATACTCGAGAAGTATACAACTTTGTACGCTATCAGATAAATTGTTGCATTCGTAAGTTTATAATCTACTTAATTACCAATTTATGCTATGTTCTATTCGTTAAAATAATTAATTACACTTTTCAGAGAAATTTAATTCGCTGGTGCAGTCTATGATTTCTTGGAGCAGACAAAGTTTATCACAACGCGAAGAGCTGTCCTGCTCGTACATGCCCTCAAGGAAAACTCGCGAGGATGTTGTCTATAACTACGAGCAAGATTTTCCGAGCATGTCCGAAGATATTACAGACTTCGAACAGTCGAACGTGATGGACGAGAGAAACGAGAGTATCGATGATCTCGACAAGTTAATCGACGCTAACGATTTGAGGCGACGTTTAATAAGAGCTGGAGGTGTTGACAGCAGATCCTCTTATTCACCCTCCAGAAGGTATGTAAATTTAAAAAAAGTTAAAAATAGGATATTGAAAATAAAATCGTTATTTTCAGTGTTATTTCGTCATTTGGAACGTCCAGAATTTTCTGTAATGCCATAACGAGAAGCGGTAAGAAATGCCGTACGTATGCAATGCATGGCCAGCTCTATTGCCGCAGACATATAATGTCAAACTCGATTATGGGTGACTGACAATTTTTTTCAGAATTGTTAGGTTATTTCGTAAGCTAAGTTTACTGAACTGAATGTTTGGAGTAAAGCATAATATTGTTAATTAATGAAATAGGTTATCTAAGGAGATTGAATTGTACCTTTTACGATTTGTCAAATTTTATCCAGTTTCATAAATGTAATATCGATTGTATAATGTGATCGTAATATCCATACGGTGCCTTCTAAAAAATGTAACTTATGTGTAACACATGACAAAATTGTACATAATTGGATAATATTTTAATAACAATTGTCTTTGTATATTTCATATTTATTGCATCATTTAAACGGATGATAGCGATGTATTTTTGATGCATCTTTTCTATCAAAGACATGTATTTTGTAAGTTGATTGTATTGAATATAGTTTTAATTTAGTTTTATAAATACACATATTATAACTTAAATAGTAATGAAAATATTACAATATTTCTGTTGTTTTATTTCAAAGCACCCACAAATATTGATCAAATGAAAACATTTCACAAATCATAAAGGGAAACGATCCAAATGTGTTTTTCACTCACAAAACACCATATTATATTGCGTACAGACTGCACTGGTCGTCAGCTCCAAGAACTTCTTATCGAAATCAGTTCCAGTCACTAAATTGTGCAAATTACAGTAATTCGTACCGTAATCGAATATCCTGAACCATTCATTTGACACAGATTCTCCCTGTAACGTAAAAAAACGAAATTCTTAAAAAATTCTTCTGTATAAAGTAATTAAACATACCGTTGCTACACAGGTTTTGTTAACCTCCTCAAAATAGATCTTTATCGTCTCAACTGTTCTTAAATTTGGCGCCAAATGAACTGCTCTGATCACATTACTTTCATATGATTTCGGTTCTTTGAGCTAAAAAATGAATCAGGATCACAGAAAATTGGAAAAAATATTCTATCACATTATTTCGTGAATTAAAATTGTTTCTTTTACTGTATAAAGGCATCTGCTACCACGTGGTCCACAATTCATGCAGGATGACCAGTTGAGTATCTGACATCTGAATTTTTGCATGGTATACACGCAAGGATCTTCAAATTTCCTACCATAAAAAAAAAACTATTTGCATACTATTTTTTGTAATATAATATTAATAAAAACAGTTGTTGAATAAAATATGTATAGTATATTCAATTCCAAAGGAACTGTTGTATTCAAGAAAATTTATTGTCGTCCTTTGGCAGCGTCGAAGTTCAAAGGGGTGCACGGAAATAACACTCGCGACGTTCTCATGAGCTTAAAAAGTGCGGCTCGTATATTTTTCAAGCGGTGTCGTCCAGCCAAAGGAAAATATACGAACCCCACTGGCTGGCCAATATTGAGTTTCTCTATGCACAGGATTGTTTGCAGAGTAGAGGTTATCTTAGAACATATTTTCTCATACTTTCATGGGGTCAGACAAAACATTTATGCTTTCATACTACGTTGATGCATCAAAACTTTTTGTCAAATGTAGAATACAAGAACGAAGGTATATTTCTTATTAAAACGAAGAAAAATTTGGAATATTTTTATGACTTGGTAAAATAGTACTTTTTTTTATTGTTATTGACTAAGATATGTATGTATGTATGTGTTTATAACTGTTTAAAATACCATTTGACAATACAGGAAGCATGCATGGGATAGGGAAACATCAGGCTGGCCATAATAACACAGATAAGGCACATCAATAATCCACTGATACCGTAGATAATGTACCTATATCTTGGAAATTTCACATATTCATCCCTTATTACGACTGGCGATAAATCATCCTCCGCTTTCAATCTGACTTTATTCAGACCTTGATTTGTAACAAAGCTTTACTATAAGTAAACTCATAACGCGCGATGGACGAAGAAAAGAAGGGTAATATAAAATACAAAACCATTTTCTTTTTTTGTAGTGGAATCATCCTGCGAGTTTATGAACCTCTGGTTACCGACGTGTGTGTAAGGTGGTGGTCGTCTCGACATTGACCTGAGCTCCATGTACTCTCTACACGGTCTTTCGACCTTTTCGACGATCGTTTTCGACCGGACCATCACGAATCGATCATCTTTCAGCAAAAAGAAAGAAAAAAACAGACGTCTGACGTTTCGTGATATCTGTCGGAGAATGTGATAACACACGACTGTCGCGTTCCAACCTCTAACAACTTCACTACTTATTTAGTATATACTTTACAATATTATACACTATGTAGTTTTTGTGATCAATAAAATATTGCAAATACAAAGGGTGCCTTCTTTTTTTAATTACAGTATAATTCACAGAGGATAGAAAATTTGTTTATTAATTAATAAAAGAAGAGGATAAGGAGTTTGATATTTTATTGAAAGATGTGCACTGAATAGGCTTAAGATATTGCATGGATTTATAGACGCCTTTGGAAAGCCTTGACTTCCCACGAGTGTACATTGAATCATTTTTTCCTATAGTTTTTTTTACCGTGTCCGCTGACGCGTACTCGGTGTCCCTAATGAATACTATCTACGAAGATACGACCCATAAATGTATTCATCCCAACCACCACTTCCTTTTCTTTTTCTCTGCTCGATTTTGCCTCTTGAATTCGTACAGTTTGGCCAACCTTGTCACGAATTCGTCAAATATCCAATTCACCGTTCTAACATTAAAGGCATTGTGCATCACTGTTTTTTCTTATAACTCGAAGCCTCAGAGGTTAACTAGTTTTATTTTCAACACATGTTAATTAGATCCTTTCTTACCTTTGGTTCGAGCTTTCTTCGAGTGTAAAATGAGAAATAAGTTTAAGGTTACGTCTGACAATGTGACGTCCTTTGATGTTCCTTAACACGTGTACGAATATACTTCTTTGAATCGAATGCCGTCACGGGATACTGCTAGTTTCGATTCGAATTAGTAAATTAGTCGAAAATAGTGTCTGTCTGTCTGTGCACGTCGACGGAAAAAAAAGAAAGAAACGTGACGGCGTCGCGGTGTGGTTGTACCTCCATTTGCTAATACGTAAAGCAAGGAATCCCCATCGGTATACGAATCTTTGCGCCATGCTTGAAGAGTGAATTTTCCACTTCAGTTCTCTCAACTTTTAAAAATAAATTATATTAATTTTGGAATATTTTTATTTATCGTGCCTTAAATCAAGAATGAAAATTAACTTGCTAATTCTTTTTCCTCCAAATGCAATATTTTCTAAGATAGTTTCTAAGATACAATTTTCAAATATTTTTTATATTTCGTAACTTAAATATAGATTTACGATTTTACTATTTTTATTTGGTAACCTATTTCATTTCTTATAGTTTAAAGTGTCGGTAGGGTTAAATGCCAGGGCATGCACTTTGTTGATACGATCCTGAGTGGCGCGAAACGACAGATCAACGAACGAGAGAAGTCGTCTTGACTTATGTCTTGACGTGTCTTCACTTATGCCCGATTGTTCGAGGGCAGAGAGAAGAGAAGCAGAAGAAAAGATAGCAACTTCTGCGAATGTGGGTCAGTAGAGAGGAATGAATGCGTACAGTGTTTTCCTGTTTACCGACGTCAACTAACATCGTCCCTCTTTACGAGTGTATTGCAAATTGAACGTCCTTGATAAGTGCTGCTTAGCAAAAAGTTCTTGTACGAGGTGGCTCCTTTTCATCTCATAAAAACGAACGCTTACTCGAAATCTAACGAATCATTATTGAACAACTAACCTATATAATAATAATTATAGTATTTAATTTTGGCGTAAAAAAAAAAGCAAAGAAACGGATTATGTTGTGATTGCGGTATGTACGGCTTTCAGAAAGCTCTTATGAAAGTGTAAA